CCGGAGCGCTGCCCCCACACGGAGGGGCCTCGCTGCCCTCCCCAGCCGTACCGGTGTCCGTGTGGTGGAGGGGGTGAGGGGCTCCTCCCCGGCTGGGCCACCCCCCTCGGGGCTTCCGCTGGCCTCCCGCATCGTCCCCAGCACGCAGAGGGGGGAGGCTGTCCGCAGAGCCTGCACTTGGGCTGGGGTCCTGCCCCCCGGGCGCACCCTCACTCCTGGGCTTTACCTCTCAGAGAGCAGCGGTGAGGAGGGAAGCACAGTGGTGCGGAAGGAACGGCGGGGGGGTGGCGCCCCACCTTTTTCATGATCCAGAAGGTAAGGGAGCCACAGCAGGGCACTGCGCCATCCGAGGTGCATCCGCAGTGGCCTGCCGAGCTCAAGCTAGACACAGTGTTGGAGCCTTCCATTCTTCATACCTGCTGTCTTCTTGCCCCTCAGACCAGGAGATGCATGAAGGAGAGGCCCGCGTACGCGCTGAGCAGCAGTGATGATGAGGATCCATCAAAGGAGCTCGGAGTGACTTACAAATCAACAAGGTCGGCGGTAAGGACTGGGCAAGAATGTGGTTCTGGGGTATGAGGTCAGGTGGGACTGGCAGATCCTGCACATGATAGAGAGAATTTGCTTCTGCGAATGTGGGATCAGACATTCCTTCTTTTTTATCTGTAGATGCATCTCCGTGTCCCTTCCCTCTTAATAGGCAAGCACCTTGTGCCCTGATACCCCCTGCATCCTCAGGAGGCCATTGCAGGTTGGCCTTTCCCCTCTTAGAGTTGGGAATTAAAACCCCAAGATGCCACTGGACTTGCCCAACATCGCACAAAATTTTCAGGAGGGGGAGCAGTTGAATCAGGTTTACCCTACTGCTGGGTTCGTGTTTTCAGTTTTAGACCGTCTTCCTTCACAAAGAATTCACGGTGACTTAGAAGGTGCTCCCATCTTTATCCTTGTGACTAGTGACGGGGTAAGAGCTACAGAGAGAGGTCATTGTTTTCTTGGGATTGATGGGTGGGGTGTCCTGGGTGTCTGTTAATATCTGGAGTGGAGAGAAATCAGCTGTGAAGATTTGGGCACAGCTCAAATTGCTTTTCCCACTGGATTTTTCTTTTAACTTTCCTCTTGATCCAGTGAAGTTTTGCGCATTAGTATGAGCCTGGGAAGGATATAAGTAGGATTAAAACCAGGTATCGACTCATGTTCCTCTTCAGACCTATTTCCTTATTGTCTGTGCCTCTGTATAAAATGGGAATAACACCTAACTGTCCCCCGTCAAAACTGCAGGGTCAGACCGAGGTCTCCTTGTCGCATTAGAGATTAATATGAATATAACCTTGTGCTGTAATTATTCACCACTTTGGCTGCTGCCAAGGGGGGCAGCATATTGTTAGCCCTGCTTGCTGTAGGAGAATCAGAAGGCAGCAGGAGGAGATGACAGCTCTGGGGCTCCAGGAGCTTTTGGCACATAAGTTGGATTTGGGTTTAATTGAGGTTGGCTGTAATTATTCTTCCGTTTCTGTGCAGCTGTTCCTGAAGATCTGATAAAACCTAGGAATAGGTATCTGTTCGGTCCATTAAAGAGGAATCTAAAGCAGACCACTGTGTTAAAAGTGAATGTAAGCCACCCACAGCTAGGTTAAAAGTTCAGGCATCCTGCGCGTAGGCGGATGGTCTCATGATTGAAGTGTTGGACATGGGAGACCTGAGTTCAGCTTCCAGCTAAGCCGAGACTGAGTGTGAAGGAGTAAGTAAAGACAAGTGTTTCCTGCAAGCGCTAGGCTGGATCCGGCCCATGGGGGATTTTCCCTGGCAGGTGCTGAGGGAAGGTAGAAACTGGTGGAAGGTAAAGCAGACCATGTCCAGCTCTGTGACCGACCCTCCAGGTAGCCAAGGAGCTCTCTGTCTTGTACAGGTTTTCTTTACTGTTGTGACAAGTTCTTCTTGCTTTTCAGAAACCTGTTGGCCCAGAAGACATGGGAGCCACAGCAGTGTATGAACTGGACACGGAGAAGGAGAAAGATGCCCAGGCCATCTTCGAGCGCAGCCAGAAAATCCAGGAAGTGAGTCAGCCTTGCTCTGTAAGAGCTAGTGCTCTGCAGCAGGAGTACATGTGCTCTACTCATCCACTTCTGCACACCAAGAAGAGTTTGAGTCTCTTCCTCCCTGGAAATTTGAGAAGCCAGGAGTGTAACTCTTGCAAATAGGGGAATTTTCTGGCTTTGTTGGCATCTTGGTATTACGGAAGGCAGGGCTGGGAGGGGAGACTGGTGTCAGAGTGGTGAAAGCTAATCTGTGTTGTGAAGCTTTCCTGATCCTTCATCACCTTTCTTTTTGCTTTCCTAGGAGCTGAGAGGAAAGGAAGATGATAAAATTTACCGTGGTATTAACAACTACCAGAAGTATGTGAAGCCCAAGGACACGTCGATGGGAAATGCCTCTTCAGGAATGGTCAGGTAGGTTGGGATGAGCCTCAGAGGACTGGGACCACAGAGGAGCTCAGGCACCATCCCCAAAGGCACCTGTTTGGGGCTTGAACTTCACTGTTACTGCCAGCTTCTTTCTGTCTAACGAGTCCGGTGTCTGGTTCTGACCAGGCCCCCAGGGGCCTTCTCCACTGCAGCTGCGCAGCCGGCCTGAGCCTTCTCCCACCCTTTCAGAAAAGGACCCATCCGTGCTCCGGAGCACTTGCGGGCTACGGTGCGATGGGACTACCAGCCCGACATCTGCAAGGACTACAAAGAAACTGGGTTCTGCGGCTTCGGAGGTTAGTGGCTCTTGCCTGCAGATGAACACGTGCTGCGCCAGATCTGCAAAGGAATCCAGTCCAGCTTGTGATCCCGTGTTTGTGGTGCTAAGATGTGCACTTACTGCTTTACAGACACTTGTTTGCAGAGCTGGTGTGTGATGCTGTTGCAAAGTTGTTTTATGTGACGTTCTTGTCATTTGTGTCGGCCCTTCTGAAAGCTGATGGCCTCTAATCAGTGCTTAATAAGAGTCCTGGGAAGGACCCCTGGGATGTTCCAATAACCCACGTTCCCACAGGTATTCTGGCCACTGAGGCCGTGTGAGGGGTAGGATTTCCTGTTCCTTATCCCACTTCCCATGTGTGTAAATGCTGGAACTGTCGCTGTGGCACACAGAGCACGATCCTCCCGGCCTGTCAACCCCGAGAGGGATCCTGTGCCTGCTCCAGGAGCTTGGCACTGCCCTGGAGCACAGGCAGGCAGGGAAGCAATCACATTTCACCTTCTGCTGGGCAAAGCTCAGGCTGCCCCTGAATGAGGTGTCCTGTTAACACTCTACCCCACACAGCCTAGCTGTTAATTCATCTTCCTTTGTGTTGCTCAGACAGCTGCAAATTCCTCCACGACCGCTCGGACTACAAACATGGCTGGCAGATCGAACGGGAACTGGATGAAGGCCGGTACGGAGTCAATGGTACGGCACCACCCCTCTGCTCTCCCTCTCCCTAAGCTAATGGTGGATGAGGCTGCCAGGTCCTGCCTCTTATCATGCCCTAAAGTGAACGGGACTGAGGGATATTGGATCACTAAAAATGAAGCGGGTCCTTTGCTGTCTCAAACTGCATGGGCCATGGGTTGAATTAATATTATACAGAAAGGACTCTTTATTCCAAAGCTGTGGAACTCCCTGCTGCAGGATGACCTTAGGGCCAGTAACCACTGACAGTGCTGAGCAAATTTGCTGCTTTCCGATAACCACTGACTGCCACCAGAGAGAATTATTTCCTCTGGCTTTCTATAAAAGGATAGCACTGCTGTGGTATGGGTCCCAGCAGCGAGCTGTGTGGGGCTGGGGAGATGTGACCATCTCCTGCCTCCAGATGTCCAGGAGGTGGGATGCTTTCATGCTACGTCACATCCTTATTTCTCACTCACAGCATCCGTAGCTGCGGCCCAAGGCTCATGAGTGTTGCTCATGAACCGCTGGGCAGTTTGGGGGAAGAGGGTGTTCTCTGTTCAGTTGGAGCCAAAGAGTTTGGTGGCAGCTGGTTTGGAAGAACATGTAAAAAATAGGAGGGGGCTGGAGGATAGGTCTCTTTATAGCAGTGAGTGGGCGAGGTAGAAAAGAATTTGCTCTTGTGAGATGAGCAACGAGCACGCTGGCTTATTAGACCTAATTATATCTCAGTCCCACACATGTTAGTGACATCACCAACACCCAGATGCCAGAGCTCTGTTGTTTCCAGCAGAGATTTAATCCCACCTGCTGTGCTCTCTCCATATTTAATATTTCATGCCCCACGCATGGGCTGGTCTGTCTGCCTCTGCTCTTGCTCCAGTCTGGTTAACTTTCTCTTCTGCAGATGAGGAAAACTATGAGGTGAGCAGCGATGAGGAGGATATGCCTTTCAAATGCTTCATCTGCAGAAGTTCCTTCAAGAACCCCGTGGTCACCAAGTAAGCGGTTGTTTTGGCATGAGAAGCCAAGTGTCTGCTGTCGATCCTGTTCACTAGTCATTCACGGTCAAGGCAAATACAAACACTGCCCACAGGCTGGTGGGTGGAACCCGCTTGTTGTCTGCTGTGGCTTTCTGGTGGGTGGGGAAATCCTCTGATAACCAGGGAGTCTCATAACTGCATCTGGAGCATCTCCTTGGAAGGGATCTCAAGCCTTTGTTGTCCAAGCACCTTTTAGATTTCCGTAGATGCTGCCTCGTTACATCATCCTTCCCCTTAACCTTTTCACGCCTGCATTCCTCCCGGACACTGAATGGCACACTGCATTGCGTGAGCAGAGAAACAGAAGCACGGGGAAGCCAAGAGCTTACCAAGGATGGGGAGCAGGCTGGGGGCAGTGTGGACATCACGTGCTGCCAGCTCTCTCCCACACTGCTGGCTGTCTTGCTGGGTCTGGAAGAGCTCAGTGGTGGCTCTGCCATCACTCCACATCAGTGAAGCAATGCTGAAACACCTTTCATGGGGACAGTGCTGCAGAGGAAGCTCTGCATGCAGCTCACTTTTGCATCCCCTGGGGACCGGTAGTCAGTAATTTTTAACTCCTGGACACAGTGATTGTATCATCTGGTGACTTGCAGTGGCATCTGTGTCTCTGTACAGGTGTAGGCACTACTTCTGTGAGAGTTGTGCCCTCCAACACTATCGCAAATCCCAGCGCTGCTACGTCTGTGACAAGCAAACCAATGGTGTCTTCAACCCAGCAAAAGGTAACGGGCACCTGTGGGGGGGAGGGCTTTCTGTGCCAGAGTCTGGAGCAGCAAAGACACCAGTTCATGGGGTGTTTTAGTGTTGGGCCTGGGCCTAAGCTGGACTCACAGCTCTTGACTGCTGGCAGAGCTTTCTTTAGTGCCAGGAGACACTAAATCACGGCCTGGGTGGCTCCGTAGGTGCAAAATGAAGTTCTGTGCTTGCCTGGATAGGGAACTTGGGGAGTGTGACCTCTGGTGAGGGTAGGGGCGAGGTGCTGCGGGAGTGGAGGGGGCAGCTTGACTGATGCTCTAGTTGGCAGGTCAGTAACGCACTGATGGATTCTGTAACATCCGATGCCCTGGATTCAGCAAATGGTGGTAGCTCCTAGCTGAGCCTTTGCATAGGCAAGTGATTTTTGGTAGCTGCCCTGGTTTTTGCAGGACCTGGGCACCTGCCTTTGGTGTGGGACAGCCCCTGCACCTGGAGTCTCATCCTGCCTATTCCTGTTTTTCAGAGCTCATGGCAAAATTGGAAAAACACAAAGGGGAGGAAGAAGAGGAGGGAGAACAGCAGCATTCAGACCATGGAGAGGATCCACAATAGCAGAGCACCCCGTTTTGTATCTAGCTGAATAAAGCTTTCGTGGGAGAAAAAAAAAGCTCACAGCAGTTGCCTTGGGGCCAGCAGCTGTAGCCAGTGCTTGTGTATCCAACCAGCAGCTACTTAAACAGTGTCCTGACTGTGCTGGACTCCTTGTTTGGTGCTCCGTGAAGGCACAAGACAGAACAGGTAAGGTCAGACTCAAGAGTCATGGCCGAGTACAGCTGTCTGCGGGACCCCAACAGTTGCCTCCAAGCGCGCCTGGGGAAGGTGCTGTTGAAAACTACATTCAGTTCCTTCCTGACTTCTTTTTTTGACCAAGGTGCTGCTGTTTCACTCCTAACTTTGCACTGATCCTGCCTGCCTCCTGCTGCTGTGTAAGCATAAAACTATCTCTAAGTTAATTTAAGTCCATAATCTTTGAGCATGTACCAAGCTGAAAGCATGGAAGGAGATGAGAAATATTAGCTTGCATTAAGTTCATCGTTCACCCCAAAAATGCTAACTCCTGGGAAAGCAGGCTAGAGTGCTGCAGTTATCTGTGATTTAGTATAGCTCAGTGTATTCCCTCCTGTCTCTTCTGCCTCCCTCTTAGTTTCTAGGAGAATTCAAGAGAGGCTTTTAACTTCAGTGGGCAACACACCTCTTGAATCATCCCTCTTCTGTGAGGAAACTTGTCTCCTCCAACCATCACTAACTCTGTCCCAAAGGTTTTACGCTGAGTGGTACTGTGCTTTTTCTTGCTGTAAGTACCAGTGATTCAGTCCCTGTCCAGGCTTATGGGAGAGGGATAAGGATTTTTGCAAGCTGCAGACTTCATAACAAGCTAGGAAATTAAGATCTACTTACTATAATAAAATGATCCTAGGGAGGAAGTATAAGTGGGCCTGTCCTATCTGTTGTAGCCTGCCCTTACAAACACCCCTGCTCTGGGAGAATGCATTCTACTGAAACGTTCAGAAAAGAGCAAGAGCAGTTGTTTGCAGCTTCTTGCTTTAGGTGAAATATGGTTTTGAAACACAGAGGCAGTTGCAACTAACTGTGGTGAACTGTATGAAAGTAAGGAAATGAGAAGAGTAAGCATGCATAGCCAGCCTGTGTCGTCATTTGTGATCCACTCCATCATCTTGCAGAAACAACAGACTTAAAAAAAAACCTTCAGAAATATTTTATTTGTTTTGGCAAAAAACTAGAGTAACAAACTTTTTCTGGCTTCAAGTACAGTTTATAAACACAAGAAGGACCTGTTGCCAGCACCACTACTCCCATCCACCACTCTTACAGGACTGGATTCTCAGTGCTTCATTAAAGAGTACAAAGACCTCCAGCACCCGTGGTCCTTGGAAAGGTCAAACTAAAAGCCTTAAATACCCCTCCAAAAAATACCATGGCATGGGGGGGGAGCTGCCACAACAGCAGGGCAGAGTCACACGGCCATGAATCAAGGGGAGCCACATGAGAAGCAAGCTTTTACCTGTCACTCAGGGAAGGCAGAACAGCAAGGGTAATGGAAGGCTTAAGATCAATTCTGCACATGACCTTCAAAGAGGAGTCATGAGCTAGAGGATTTAGCATGAAAGTCAATTTCTTTTCCTCTGTGCCAGGGTAAGTCACTGAGAACAAGCTGGTATGAGTGTTACATGGTGTGAAACCAGCCCAGCTAAGAGGAGGCTCAACTAGATGTGCTACAGGGATAAAAAAGCTGGTACCTTGCACTGGCGTACACACTCGCTTTGGTGACCCAGGCAGCCATGGGAGGAGAGGCTGGAATGCCCTGTCTGACCTGGAGTTCAGAGTGCTCAGCATCAAGTGAGAGGAGTCTCTTCAAAAGCTCTCTCCAGAACTGGAAAAGAATCCAGTGCTGCAGAGGAATGCCCGATGCAGCGAGTGTGCCTGGAATGGAATCAGGTTGTCTTTGATCTCCCATTTTCCATCACAAAGCAGTGACTACATTTAAGAACACAATCCCCTTTTTCCCCACCTTCAAAAGTTACCCTGTGACAACACTGTAACAGTAATCTGACCAGCTCTACGAGAATGCCCAAAACTAAGAGCTGCCTGCCTCCCCTTAACTCTAAGGCACCCTTAAAAGAGAAAGAACCAAAGAGGGTAGGGACACACAGCCTTCAACTGTGATACAAGGAAGCCAGTGATTTTTAGAAACATTTTTAGAAACACATAAATAGAGACTAAACAGACTCACTCAACCCATTTGCCCATTTGAGCTACCAGTACTCAGCTGCAAGAACTGGGGCTGTGGGCACTGCACCATCTGGAATACTCCACAGTTCCTTGGGGTTGATCCTTTTCCAGCTCAGGTCTGTCCATTTGTTTCCAGGCTACTTCCTAAGTAAACAGGCAGTTGAAGTTCCTTCCCAAGGACCTGTAAACTCTTCTATGTGTAACATTCATCACCTTTTATGAACAGGACCAATAAATTACAATGTCCAGAAAGCTCCTCCAGAACCAGGAATAGTCTCTGTTTTTCTAGAATTCCCAATCATCCACATCCAGCTGCTCCAGGTTTGATACCAGCCCAAAAATGCCACTGGGATCCTGGGGCCGCGTTCCTTCAAAATTGGTGATTGGGGTGACGGGGCGCAGAAGTTCAGGGAGTGCTTCAGAAGCACGGCGCTTGATCTGCTCAGAAAGGAGAGAACTCAGCTGCTGAAATGCTTCCCCACACTTGAGCATCACAGTCAAGCAGCAACAATGTGTGGTTACAGGCAGAAACTAAAAACACAGTATTATCCTCCCGCCAGCACTGAGAGATGTGCAGGGCTTTCGCACTGCATCTTGTAACAAGAAAGTGCTTTGCATGCAGCCTTTTCAGCAGCACTTGGGTGCTGTGGTCCTGATGCTTCCCGCGGTGAAGCACCACCCTAACCCTCAGCTCAGAGCAAGCCAGACAAATCATTTCAGGGGCAGGAGAGCCTCTGCCTCTTCCCACACCAGAGCTGGAGCTCACCAACCTGCCACACAGCTGTAAGCAATGCGCAGGTCACCTCGGTTTGGTCTCATTAAGGACCAGGTTAGGACTGCCTTGCCCCAGTACTCAGTAGCCTGAGGGTGAAAAGCTGTTCTGGCATACAGGACAGGCAGATTTACATCCTCTGTTTAGATAAGGAAGAGATGCTTTGAGAACCGCCCATCCAACTCCGAGGATAATGTGTGGATCACCAAGCCATGCTACAATTAGTCACCAAACTTAATCCTTTCAGATCACAGAAAATGCAGCAACTCGACATTCCCACCTGCAGGTTCAGTGACACAGCAAGACAAGAACTACAGAAAAGCCACTGTTCTTCATCTGCAGATTAATTAGAGTTCCTTACCTGCTTGAAAAAGGGATGATTAAGCAGAGTGCCTGCGCTTGGCCTGTAGAAGGGAGTTAGAATAAGGTAAACACACAAGAAAATGTGTCAGTGTTTAAAGTCGGGTAATGGAAGAAAGAAAAGACCAAGGTCCTTCCTGCCTCTCTCATTTCTCAGCTATAGGGTATCTCCCTTTTGTCACCAGTAGCACTGTTTATTATGTTCACGTGATGTTTTATGCAAGCGCTTCAACCTTCTTCTGTGCAAGTTACCTACTTCACACCCCAACATTTGATCAAGGGAAAATTTCTGAACAGTGTGGTCTGCTAGAGAAGTTTGTCATGGCTAAAGATGCCTTTACACTCACTACAGAGTTCTTGATCACTTCCCATTGTTATTCTCTGCTGGCTAAACAGCAGACGTTCACAGTGATGGAAACTGGATAAACACAGTCTCACAGGGACCAGAAATTCAAGTTGTTCGGTTTATTTTCCTGACGTGTAGCACCACTCTACCCCCCAAAGAAGGCTGCAAAGTAATTCTTCAGGCTCTCTTACACAAAGTGCTCAAAGTGTTAACACTGCTCTTGTTTTACATACTTGGACTGCTCTTCTTAATGTATGGAGCATATCCTCACTCCCCTACGCTTTTGGAAAGAAAACTTTGAATAATCTCTGCTGGCTCTCCTGGTCTAACCTGCCCTAGAATAGCGCAGGTCTGTGAAGAACAGCTTTCACCTGGCTTTACCTGAAATCGGGGTTCCGCTGGAGGCACTGCTCTACGAAGTTATGGAAGTAGGTGGAGAAGGTCCGAAGATAAGGGTGCAGGGTTGGCTCTCCGTTGGCCGCTCTCACGTTGCTAGTAGCCATGCTCTCGCCCATTCCGTAGTTAGCGCTTGAACGGGAGGTTTTCATAGTCAGCTCATCCGCAGGAATTGTGGTGGTGTCTAGCAGGCAGGGAACAGTTCCATTCAGCTTTTCCAAAAGCATCTGGAAGAGAAGGGACATAAGCAACATCACACACAAAGATTAGACAGTTACGACTTCTCATTCAGGTAGGCACAGCACCCTTCTGTCTTCACATCCCAGGTGCAGCAAAGCAGTTCCATGTGCCAGGATGAAGGATGAGAAAGGAACAGCTTTTAAACCTTACCTGAGTAGAAGGCATGTCTTTAAATGGTACGTGTCCATTTGCCAGCTCGCAGGCTGTTATCCCTACGCTGTAAATGTCAGATTTTGCATCATAACCCTGGAGATTCTAGATGAAAAGGAAAAGAAAAATTAGCCCTGCGGACTTACATGTGATTGCACGGGCAATGCCCATGATTTGATATGCAGAACAGCAAACCCAAATGATCAGAGCAGAAATAGTACAAGCCACATATAGGCTGGTTTATTATGGTGGTGGTTTTTTTGTTTGTTAAAACACACAGTTAAGGACAACATTTATTTAACCGAAATCAGCTAGCTAGTAGGGATGGCATCCACCTTAGGGCAACAGGCATCTAATGGAACACTTTGCTAATGGGACAATCTGTAGAGGTACCTACAAGAAAACTATTTAGTCAAATAGATCAGGTCAAATTCTACCCACTTGCCCTGCGCCCACCCCAAATCTGTTTCCTCTAGCCTCTCCCCTTCCTCTTCCTTACATTCACACACCTTCCTCTGGAAGGAAAGAAAAGACAATGTTGTAACATGGGCTTCTCAGCAATTGCCCTTTTTGACAGGAATACAGGTTTCCCCTTGCTAGCGGTCTCTGGTTTTAAGGTGAAAAGGATAGAGCTGATCACGAGAAAAAATAACCCTGTGGC